GCAGAATGTGTCGAGTCCCTGCTGCAGACCCTTCTTTATTTCCCAGGATATTGATCCAGAAACACTCTTGATCATTTCTTTCCTTGTTGTTAACGACTCAGACCCGGGCAGTGCCAGGGAGATCATCTGCTCCCAGCCAGTCCCAGGGGGATGCCAGTCAGGAGTGGCAGGTCAAGACCTCCAAGGAGTGGAAATCAGATGGAGAGGGTGGTTATAACACGGGGCTGCAGCATTCCAGGCAGGGAAAGTCCCTGTCAGCCTGAGGCACTGGGAGCAGGCTTAAGGTGTGGATTTAATGGTTGGACTCGGTGACCTCAGACGTGATGGAGAGGGAGTTCATAGGAGAGCATGGAGTGACAGGACAGGGGAGGAATGGCTTCAGACTGAAAGAGGGGAGGTTTAGATGGGATTTTTGGGAAGAAATTCCTAATTAGGATGGGATACTAAGAAGGTGAGGCCCTGGCACAGGTGCCCAGAGAAGCTGTGGCTGCCCCAGGATCCCTGGAAGTGCCCAAGGCTGGGTTTGAATAACCCAGACTAGTGGAAGGTGTCCCTGCCCATGGCAGGTGGTGGAACTGGATGAGCTTTAAGGTCCCTTCCAACCCAAACCAGTCTGGGATCCCGAGATTCCAGGATTCTATTCAGCAATTCCACCTTGTTCCACTGTTTTGCTGCAGTTGATTTTCTTTGCATCCTGTCTTTTCCCAACTGTATTTTGTTTTGGAGTGGTTGCATCATTCCTCCTCCTCCTTCCCATCAGCAGCCTGATGTGCCCCCAGCTTGGCTGGCAAGGATACCCCCAGGAGCTTTTCCCTTTGCTCCCTTTGGATCTCTGCATTCCCACCATGAATGGAAAACACCCATTGCTCCCACTGCCCAATCCTACTTTTTCTTCCCCCATCCACGCTCAGTGATTTATTAGAAGCTGATTTGTATTTTTTCATAACTATTTTTTTTTTTCCCAAACTTCATCTCACTCATCCCCTCATCCACACATGCACCTGATATTTAAAGAAAGAACCTGTCAGCCCTATCAGTATCCTGTGGTGGAAAAGTCCCTGGAATTAGTCAAATCTCCTGGAAAAATCCTGCAGCCCAGCTTTCCAGACCTGGCATGGCAGGAGCACCTTCCAGAGGGAAGAGCCCGCTGGCATCCAGGGCTGGTGTGAAATCCAGTCTGGAATTTCCTCTCCCTCAGCCTCCTGCACATCAGCAGCCCTGAGGAAATCTGAACTGATCTGGAGAGGACTCCCAAGGCAGCTCACTGGGGCAGAAGTTTTTATTTTAAACTAAATCCTGACCTCTGGAGAAAGTCTGGGAGAAGTGGGTTTATTTGGGGGTAAGCTCAGGGCCAGATCACCCTGGCACCTATCAGGGTTCATCCAGCCCCTTCTCCTGGCATTCCCACAGCCAGAGACTCATGGAGTGATGGAATGCTTTGTGTTGGAAGGGATCTGACAGCTCAGCTCGTTCCACCCCTTAGGGACACCTCCCCTATCCCAGGCTGCTCCAAGCCCTGTCCAACCTGGCCTTGGACACTTCCAATCCCATTTATTTGCCTTCCAACGTGGCTTTTGGCAGTTTTTGGAGCCTCCTGGAGCCCACCTTAAACCCTTTAATAACCAGAACATTCTGATCAAACCCTGTGCTCCAGCCACGGGGCACCAGGACAGGCTGGGGACAGATTTAGGAAACCCGAATCAGCTCATGACCACAAGATTTGCTCATGGCTGCATTTTTAGAGTGGAGCCTGCCCATTCCTCGGGTGCAAAGGTGCTGTTCCCAAAATAACCCTCATTTTAAAGCCACACACCATCCTAATAGTAGATCCCATTCTCCTCATTTCCATCAGCAGATTGTTGGGAATTTCTTTTTCACCGGTTTACCATTAAACTTGCTGTTATTTTAAACACCTGCTTTGTGAGGAGCAGCATCCCACATTGGTCAGAGGGATGTCACACCTTGGTGCCTGCCTCAGATCCCTACATCCCACCAAATCCCCCCCAAAGGAATAGCTGGCCAATAATTAATGGGCTAATTTTAAACACCTGCTTTGTGAGGAGCAGCATCCCACATTGGTCAGAGGGATGTCACACCTTGGTGCCTGCCTCAGATCCCTACATCCCACCAAATCCCCCCCAAAGGAATAGCTGGCCAATAATTAATGGGCTAATTAACATGTAAACCGAATATAACTGTCTAAAACTACTGAGAAAGCAACAGAAGGGGACTGGAATTTCTTTTGTTCCCTGCCAAAATTTTTATATGCATTTAAGCAACTTCAGTTCTGGTGTTTTTCTTGGAAAGTTTGGGGGTTTCCACCCAAATTCTCCCTCTGTGAATAAAAAAAAAATGGGAGTTTGCAGTTGCCAAAAAATGCGGCACCTGGAGTGTGGGATTTTCAGGGAAGGAAACAATAAAGCCCCCCAATGTATAATGAGCAGAGTTCTTGAATTCACAAAGGACTCGGCGTAGTTTGAAAAGACATTTTCTACTGGAAAGAAATGCTTCAGTGGGAAAATTTCCACCCACTCCAGTTGCATCTCTTCCCTCCAGCTCCGAGAGAGAGAGAGGGAGAGGAAGGTTTTCTTCCAGAGGAGGGTGGTGATGTGTTTCCATGGATGGACAAGAAAATGCATCGAGAGAGGGAAAAAAAAACCAAAAAACAACTGAGTGGGAAGACACAGCCTGAAAGTTCCCGGTGGGTGGGGAGTGAGGCAGGTACCGAGCACAAGCAGCTTTTCCAGAGGGGATGCACAGCCTGAATCCCGCCGCTTCCCATCACCAGCAGTTACACTGATTATTTTTTCTTCCCCTCGGAGTCCTGGCCAGGCTGGGTCTGGCTCAAAACCACCACTCCAGTACCGCTGGTGGCGATGGCAGGATGCAAATCCGAGCCCGTGCGTGGAGATTTGGGGGGAAAAGCTGAGTTTTTCCTCCATCGCCCAGATTTTGCTTTATAAGCACTTGCGAACATCTTTAAAATGATCCTCCAGCTGAGCTCCCCCTTTAACACTGGTGCGTGAATCCCCTGGTGTATTAACAACACAAATATATCGATATTTGCGGGCACACGGACCCGCACACGCAACCCGGTGCCGCAAAGATCCGGCACGTTCCGATCCAGGGGGATGCACCAGCGGAGCCGGACCCCAGCATCTCCAGGGAGAGGAAAAAAAACCCCAAAATCTGCGGAGAGGGGCGCTGAGGATGGGGAGGACCCCGATGGATGGGGAGGACCCCGATGGGATGCGCTGCGCTGGAGGGAGGGGAGCGAGGCGCGCCGCAGCCCGGCTGGATCGGGACCCAGCCCGGAGCGCTGCCGTAAATCCCGAGCGCTCCCATCCAGCCCGGAGCGAAGCGACAGCGCGGCCTTTTCACGAATAAATAATCTGTGTTGCAGTTGCGGTGTGCCGGACCCGAGAGTCTGCCCGGAGACTCGGCGCTGGCGGCGCGGAACGAGGCGTTTGGCCCATTCCCGGTGTCCTCCTACCCCGCTGCCCCGGGGACCCCCGGCTCCGGCGGGGGATGCCGGCCCCTCTCCGCCCCGCGGGAGCCGTGGGCGAGCGGCGGCGGCGGCGGGGCGGGGGAGAGCCGGAGGGATAAATAAAAATACGGGAGCATCCCGGGAGGCTGCGGGGGGCTGCGGCCCTGCTGGGCTGCGAGGCGAAGGCGACGCAGTTCCTGTCTCTTTAAATCCACCCTGAGCCCGGCGCCGGGAGCTGAGGCAGAAAGCAGAAAGCCCAGGATCCTGCTCGTTAACGAGCGGGATTTATCCCCGCAGGGAGCCGGCGAGCAAAGGCGGGTTGGGGGGGGAGGCGGAGGGGCGAGCCCAGGCCCCCCGAGCGGCCCGCAGCCCCCGGGGCCGGCTCGTGTGAGCATCCCCGGGCCGGGATGCGGGCTCGGCCGGGCGCGGCCAGCGCGGCCCCCCGGCACTGAGGTTTGCGGCGGGGAGCGGAGCGGGGGAGGCGGCGGGAGGGGGCGCGGGGCGCGGGGCGTGCGCGGTGCGGGAGCGGCCGGGAGCCGTGCGGGAGGGCGGCGGAGGAGGCACCGCATTGCTGCTGCTGCCGCTGCTGCTGCCGAGCCCCGCGATGCCGCCGCGCCCGCCGCTGCCCCCGGCCCTGCGCCCCAGCCAGCCCGGCCGGCGGCGGGGGGCTCCGCGGGGGCTCTGAGCATCCTTCCCCCCGGGGCTGCCCAGCGCTCGCTTTTTCCCTTTTTTTTTTTTTTTTTTTTTTTTTATATTTTTTTTTTTTTCTTTCGCTTTTGGCG